TGTCTTGAAAAACCAAACAACAACAACAACAACAACAACAACAACAACAACAAAAGCCCAATAAACAAAAAGAGAGTTGAAGTCTTTTAAAAGTAAATTTGATAGGCCCTATTCAACAACCAAATACAAGTCTGATTAATGTTAAATTTGCTAAAGGAGAGTTTTAAGAAATGATGGTCCTAGTTGGGTGTTGGTGGTGCACGCCTTTAACCTCAGCACTTGGGAGGCAGAGGCAGGAGGATCTTTGGGTTCAAGGCCAGCCTGGTCTACAGAGTGAGTTCCAGGACATCAAGGGCTACACAGAGAAACCCTGTCTTGAAAAACAACAACAAAAAATTAGGGTGCTTTTTAGCTTGCTGGGCATTGTGACTCCCGGGTCATTTTAGCTACCGCTGGATATAATGTGCACTTTAAAAACTACTTATTTAGCTGGGGACAGTGGTACATGCTTCTAATCCCAATACTTTGGAGGCAAAGGTAGGTGGATATTTGTGAATGGGAGGCCAGCCTGGTGGCCTGCATAGTGAGATCCTCTCAAAAAACAAAAACAGGAAAAAACTTATTTACTTATTTTTTTCCCCCTTGGGTTTTGGTTTTTGCTTTTTTTCCAGACAAGATGCTCAGTCTGGTTCAGTCTGGTTCTGAAGATTACAAGAGCATGTCACCATGTTCATCTCGAACATGAACAAACTCTTTATAATCTTCCTTTCCTTTATAATAGAAAGAATGAAGAAGAAAAACAATAACCTCAGGAAAATGAAGTAAGGTTTGAACCTAGCACACTCTAATTTCTAGCTAGCCTTGTTGTGTGTACTGTTTTCAAGTCTTTCTCTTATGGATGCCTGAGAACAAAACAGAAAAAGCAACAACCATAGATGCATTCATGATTGGCTTATGATTTTGATTTGCACTTTCAAAACATTCAATCAAGGTGGGTATGATGTTTTGAAAGAAAATGGACCCCAAAGGGATTGGCACTATTAGGAGGTGTGGTCTTGTTGAGGAAGTGCGTCACTGTGGGGGCGGGCTTTGAGGTTTTCTATGCTCAGGCTACTCTCAGTGTTACAGACTACTTCCTGTTAGCTGTAAGATGTAGGACTCTCAGCTGCTTCTCCAGCACCATGTCTGCCTGCCTGCCTTCATGTCCCACCATAATGATAATGGACTGAACCTCTGAACTGTAAGTGAGCTCCAATTAAACGTTTTCCTTTATAAGAGTGGTGGGGTCATGGTGTCTCTTCACAGCAACAGAAACCCCAACTAAAACAGCAGGCAGGCGTGGTACCCATAATCTCAGTGAGGCAGGAGGATGGCCAGCCTAGGGTACATAGTAAGATTTTGTCTCAAAAAACCAAATAACAACAGAAAAGAAAAGAGAAAGGAATAAAAAGGAAAAAAAAAGAGGAAAGCTGGGCTCAGTTGCTCCCCAGGAAACACTCAGCAACATGTGGAAACATTTTGGCTATCACAACAATGTATCTAGCGAGTGGAAGTCAGGGGTGCTGAGCAATGCCCAGGCTGGCTCCTCCTCCCCAGGGCCTGCTCCAACCTTAGGATTGCCCAGGAATAAATCAAAGATTCTAGGAAGATCACATATCTCGATTATGTCCAGGATGATCTTGGCTGTCCGAGTCCTTTACCTCACCGAGGATAGACAAGTACTATATCTATCCAAGTTAATAAAATTATTAAATTTTTTTTCTTTTTAATTTTAGCTTCTCCTCTTACTACATGGGTGTATTGAATTCTCCTTCTGGAACTTTCATTTAGAATTTTAACATTCTTTTCACCTCACTCAACCTTTAAGCCTCTCCACCGAGGCCCCCGGGGAAGAGAAAGAGCTCTGGCGATTGATGTCAGCGACCCACAGAGGGAAGAACAGGACCGGGTCTCTCGAGACAACCCAGGAACTAATTTCTCTTAAGTTGTAGGGCTCCAGGAGGAGCCACAAGGCAGGAGGGGAAATAAATCGGAAGGAGAAAACCAAATTCTGCGAGGAGCTGGAGAGACCTGTATTTAAAAAAGGGCACCATACCTTTAGGACTTCAGAGACGGCGGGCTCCCTCCCTACGCAGCTATTAACATGCAAAAAATGCCTTCATAAATACTTGATTGTGCGCACAGTGGGGAGTCCGTTCATTTGAAAGGGGAAATGGGAGGTTGGAGTTGAAACACGTCTGCTTGTCTCTTTTCTCTTTTTTTTCTTTGCTTTTTTCATCTCCACACTGCTCGCGTAGTTTTCCTCCCCTGATTTCTCTGACTTAACCCTCTCCTCTAACTCCACGGAAGCTGCTGATGGCAGCTGCGGCGCTCATTTAACTGGTGCACTGGGCGTTGCGGCCCTGAATCTCGGGCTGGGTGTGGAAGGGATGTCTCGGGACCTCTTCCTGGGGTTGGTACAGGGAGGCAAGGCGGCTCCCCCACCCTTTCTGCTCTGGCCCTCGCGAGGCAGCTGCTCATGAGGCAGAGCGGAGGTTTTCAATGCTGCCGGGAGGGGGCGCCCGAGGCAGCCCCCAGACCCCGGGGACGTTGGTGCACTTGGCCAGCAACGCCTGGCTTTCTCCCCTTCACACTCCCCAGTCTAGGCCTGTGGCTTCGGGGCGGCTGTATCCCAAAGGCTCCACCTTTGGGGATGCTCAGCTAGCACTATGACTTTTTTTTTAATATTTTGTGTGAGAGATCTTATGATATGGCCAGACCCTGAGGATGGAGGGAGGAGGTAAGTGAGGGATTAATGGAAAAGAAAGAAGGTCTTGATTATTGCTGCTGCTGCAAGCCAACATTTTTGCTTCAGTTGCAAGAAAAAGCCCTAGCTAGCAGAGGCAGGGAAGCCACGGCTTGCTTGGGCCCGTGGCCCGTCAAGGTAGGACTCTGAAGTTTGTTGAGTAGAAATTTGTTTCTAAATCCTTCCCAGATGCTTTATAGTAAACATGAAATTAGTCACTTATGTGGAGTAGGCTGAGGAAGTAGTTAAAATCCGAGGCAGTGATTAACCTAATAAATGGCCGCTAGCCTCAAGAAGCAAGAGGGGGAGGGGCGAGAGGCCTTTCCTCGGCACCTTCCACCTCATTTTCTTGGCTTGGGGGCTGGTGGGGCTCCCTAGACTTTTTCTTCATACACTTCTCTTTCCGGGGCTCCTTTTTAAGGAAAGAAGGCCGCGGTCATGCCAACAAGTCAAGGAGCTCAGAAGGGAAAAGCAGTCACAGTACATTCTCAGTTTGTGAACTCGCCAAGGCCTTGCAAGAGGAACCAGAGTTGGAGCTTCAAGACCCAAAGTCTATGTTCAGGCTGACTGCAAGGTTTGTAATTTAGTTCAGTTGTTAATTGGACACGGCTGGGCCACTCTTTGCAGGCGCTGTGGGCCTCCAGAACAGCCCCAGAGCCGCATGAGTTTGGACCGTGCTGGGAGTAGTGGTGGTATTTGTAAGGCCTTTGGAGCTGAGGGATTATCAAAATATATTGTGTTTTCTTAGTTAGTGCTGTTGTTATTACTTAACGTCTTCAGACGCCCTATGAAGAGTGTCTTCAATGGAGGCATTCACACTCACACACACACACACACACACACACACACACACACACACACACACACACGTTATTTCTGGGCTTCCTCAGTAGCAGAGAGATGGTCTAGTTGTGCTTTACTTCAGGGGAGGCCTGACCCAACCTGGCGGTCTAACCTGTCTGAGCTCAGCTCAAACACGCGTGCAGACGGACTGTTACCGAGTGCTGGGAAAAGGGACCTGTGGCAGCCGCAGGAAGCTGGAGATAAGAGAGGAATGGGGAGTCGGCCCCTCAGGCTGTAGACAAAGGAGAGGCCCCTGGAGCAGTGCCGGCCAAGAGTCGGCTTCAGGTCTCCCGGTTCCTGAGTTTAGCTCTAGGAATTCTTTCTCTTGAGAGACTCTGAAGAGAGTGTCACCCTCAGAGCTTCCGACGGACGCCTGCTTGTCAATATTTCTGCACACATTTCCTTGAATCATTTGATATTCCCAAGCCTCCCAAATCTTCACCCTAGCTTGTGTGTGAGCTCATGGGTGTGTGTGATGTGTGAGCTCATGGGTGTGCGTGCCCATAGGTGTGTATGTGTGTCCATGGGTATGGAATGTGTGTGTTCATGGATATGTATGTGTGTCCATGGGTGTGCGATGTGTGTGTTCATGGGTGTGTATGCGTGTCCATGGGTGTGTGATGTGTGTGTTCATAGGTGTGTGTGTCCATGGGTGTGTATGTGTCTCCATGGGTGTGTATGTGTGTCCATGGGTGTATATGTGTGTCCATGGGTGTGTATGTGTGTTCATGAGTGTGTGCCTGTGTGTCCATGGGTGTGTGTTCATGTGTGTGTGTGTTCATGTGTGTGTGTATGTGTGTGTGTGTGTATGTATGAGTATGGGGCCCAGGGCTTGACATTTGCTGTCCTCCTTTATCCTCCATGTTATTTGTTGAAAGAGTCCCATCCATTCAGCTAGGCTGGCTTCCCAGGGAGCTGCCTGTCTTCTCCTCAGTTCCGGCAGTGCTGAGATTATAGATGTAGCCACTGTGCCTGCCAGGCTTTTTATGTGGGACCTGGGGATCTGAACTCAGATTGCGTGGCAGGCGCTTTACCAAGGGAGCCGTCTCCCCAGCTCCTAGCCTTGATGCTTTAACAACAACAACAACAGCAAACACAACCACTGTTTTCTCTCCCCATTTGGAAGGAAAATGTGGCCCTTCTGCTTGTTACTGTTGCTGTGTTCTTGTTCCCCTTCTAACTTCGCAGAAGTCTGGGAAGAGTCTGCTTTGCTTCTTCACACACACAAAGAACCACACAGTAGAATCCAGATCCCAAGCTTGAGAGTCAAGGAACCCAGTGACGTAACGGCTTACTTGCTCATTTTACTGATGAGACAAATGAGGCCCGGAGAGATAAGAGTCTCATTTAGGGTCACATAGCAAGTCAGGACAAGAACCCCGGACAAGTCTCGACTCCCCAGGGTTGCGCTCACTCAGAGTTAATACTGTACCTGATTCTCTGTTGCTTGAGTCAGAGGTGAGGAGGTTTCATAAGGATTTCGATGAAGATTGGCTCTGGATTTGGTGTTTGCTATGGGGAAAGTCAGAGAGAAAGGGGGGGTCAAAGTGTCAGATGTAGGTCTCATGAACTTTCATACGAACCATATGATAGCCATACATGCTTAGCTCATGTGCATTTAAGGTTATAAGCACACACCTACGGCATTATCTATACCCCGCAGTCTCTGCAGATATGTCCAAACACCTTATTGAGTGGGGCTAAGCTTTATATTTAAATTTGGATTTTCTTTGGATTGGTATTTTAAAAAAAAACAAAAAGTAGATGTTTTGTGCTCTTGGAATTCAGATAAAAGCTGAAATTTAAAAGGAAATATTGATGTAAAAAAAAAACTGCTGATGCTGTTGAATATAAATCTTGTATGATCACACTTTACTGAAGTGGGAAAATGCTCTGAAAGCTTCCAGAAAGAGAGCCGAGATTTCCCCGCTCCTCAGTGTGGAGGGAGGCAGAGCAGCAAAGAGAGGCAAAAGTCAGTGTGGCTGTGGGCGTGATGGCATTCTCCAAAGTAAAGCGGCATTAATTTCCTTTCCTTTCCTTTCCTTTCCTTTCCTTTCCTTTCCTTTCCTT